TTGGGGAAAAGGCGCTGAGCATGCAGGCCAGTAGCTAACAGAAGCACATGTTGCTGGCATTGTTAGTTTGGAAGTTTCTCATGAGACGCTGAGAGTGCACGAAGACTCCTGAGTCAAATGTGTGCTCACGGTTCCCAGTGAGTGGTGAGAAACACACACTTCCATGGAGCAGCGGTACTCCAGTACTCCCTCTCCCTAACCAGGCCCCTGCCACCATTACTGACCTATGGCTGCCAGACATTAGATGGGACTGAACAGGGAAGGAGGAGAGAGAATGTATGATGAACACATGATTAGTGCTTTTATGCATTGGTCACATGCGAAATGTCGACCCCCCTTTAAAAGTCTTTCAGCAACTAACTGTGTACATTCCTTGCAGGAGATACAAGCAATACAAGCCTATTGAGAGGAGTGCAGAACAAACAGAGAAGCAAGAGGGATTCACTGCTTACTTCAGCACTTTCAAAGCCATTTTCTTCCCTAATAGCACTGAGAGAAATCCTCTGCTGAAGAGTAAACCAGGCATTGTTTAAACCTTTAGTGCAACAGTTATTAGATTAAGTGCAGGACTTGTCTCTGAACTGTACTTTAATGGGGCTTTCTTGTTATAAAAATACCCCAGGGAGTAAGGTGAAAGCACATAGAAATGGGATGGTAACTTTTGGGGCTTGGTGCAATTAGCAACATTAAAGTAGTCCTTTATAGAAAAACAAGGGGGTAGTTTTAAGCACTTGCTGTTCTTGCTTGTGATGTAGGATACACTTTTCTGAATTACTAATGTCCCCCACCCTCACACCCTTTTCTGGCTTTTCTTATTTCTAGATTGACAGCCTGCAAAATTAATCACATCCATAATCTGGAAGGGGGGAAAAAAAGAGGTTAATTAAAAAAAAAAAAACAAGAAAAAAACAAACAAAATAAAAATCCCCACCAACCAACCAACTTGTAAACACTTAGCTTTTATTGCTGCTTACTGCCTTAGCAGGATTCATGTCTTTGCTGTAAAGAGAGACATGGGGGGCAGGCACATGTTATGTCTGTGGAATGAAACGTGCCATGGCCTATTCCCAGGCATTGGCACTGAACTGCTGCCACTGTTACGCTGTTCAGGAGGTCCTAGCACAGACTTGCCCCAGGCGGGCCAGCTCCCCACCAAGCAGCCCCTAGATTCTGGGAACCACTAGAGGCACAGCCCCCCACTGTGAGTTTGGCAGCAGCCACCCTGTTTTTCAGGGTTCAATAACATGGGTGCAGCTCATTAAATGCCAGTTGGCCTCAGGGCTAGAAAACAGGGCTGGACACACTTAGCTTCCCACTGGACATGGCTACCAGTGCATGAGTCTCACTATAAACTAGACCACAGACACCCGAGCATCAAGATGAGGCCCATTGGCTTGGCTCTCCCTGTTCAAACTTTGAGTCCCATGTAAAATTCTGAGTTGCAACTGCTGATGCTGCCTTTGCCTCCTTTGCTTCCATTGGTCTTAAGACACTGGATAGGCACCACTGCTCCCAAGGGGCAGATACAGTCCAAGTCCAATGAAGGGTCAGCAGAACAAGGGATCTAGCAGGAAGGGGTAGCATTTAACTGCCTTTTCCTCTTCTCTTTTCATTTCCATCTTTCCTGCTCTAAAGAGACATTAATTTCTGCTTGCTCCTCCATCCCTCTGACCACTAAGTCAAATAAATGAAAACCCCAAGATAAATAAAGCACTCTGCTCCAGTTCCTACTTTTACATGACACACCTTAGAAAATGTAAACTTATGCAAAATCAATGTGCCTCCACTTGTTCACTCTAGCTGCAATTCTGTTAAAATAACTCATTCTGAGGCCTTCCACAAGTGATCTGGCCTTGTAGCCACACATGCTCATCACTCAGCATCACAGCATTTCACAGTGTGAGACCAGCACAAACTGCTGCAGGCTGGCTCGCTGGATGATGAGTAAAGGAGAGCATCTTATTTGCAGAAAGGGAAAAGTTAAATGCTAAAAAAGGTTCATGGAGATGAGCAAACAGACCAGCAATTCTTTATAGTTCATGTTCCATAAAACTGCTGTTGTTAGTAAAGGCTATAGCCAAAATAGAGCCTGAGCAAATGACCTTACACAATCTATTTCTAAACACTGAATTCCTTGAAGATCTGTATTTCAATATAATTAGCTTATTTACCATATCTTGAAACATCTCTGATACATACTGTTTTCTGTTCCTGTGGCAATATGTAATTATAAACACACTTTCCTACTATTTTAGCAGATCTTCCAAATGTTTATCATTTGTAATCTGAATCTAGTCTTCACTGTCCCTTCCCAATGTGCACAGACACCTTTCAATGACTTAAGAAAAAAAAAATGTAGATTCCAACATACCTGTGGGATTAGTTCTTCGCTCTAAAATTCAACAGCCTATTTTCTTCTTTTGTTTCCAGGTTCACCCATTATTTTAATTATTTTGCCACTATTTCAGTTATATTATTAAAAGCAGTGTATTTGCTATTGTTCCCTCTTCCTTATATGTAACATCCTATTGTCTAAGAACTAGCATCTCAAATTATTTTCTGACTTAAAACAGGAAATATTTTCTGCAAAAATTACTAAGTGTTATATCCTCTGTTATCAGTCAGGCAGGACTGTAATTTGTATTTGTTGCTCTAGCTTGAGGCAGGACAGGGGTTTAGTGGAAAGCTTAAGATGACCTGTAATGAAGCATAAAAACATAAAATCTGTCACAGCTTAGGATCAGTGAAGATGCAGGCTACCACCTGGGCTCCATGCAGTAAATATCTTGTTTCTGCAAAATGCAGCATCTTAAGCTTTTGCATAGAAAACAGCTTTCAGGCACACATTAAGAACTTTTTTATACTTTAACCTAAGTGTTAGGAATACCTTGCACTATCTCCCTTTAAGTGTCATATCAGAATACTACAGTTTTTATATAATGTTTTTGCCTTTTCAGCTGTAACTTCTATTTCATACATCTTTACTTTTATACAATGGAATTTAACTGCTGCACTGACAAATAAACCATGTAATGATTTTAAAGAGTTCACTGCTTTGTCTCAGAACGAGTAACTGCGAGATAAGAAACTTGATGAGTTGCCCAATTATTGATGAAAAGATTGTCTACTTCCATAAAACATAAGGGATTTGCCTTACCCTCAGTTCACACCTGGCTCCACCATGGCTTATCGAGCTGATTTTACAGTCTCCCTTCAAGTGTACTCAGAGCAATGGCACCCCAAACCTGAGAAGCAAGGAGACTTTCTTAACACCCAGATGACATAATTTCAGAACAGATCAGGATACAAATGAACTTTGTGTCCTTTAAAGGCAAGAACAGCTGACAAACAACAGATTTGTGAATGTCAGCAAATGTTACAAGACAGGTTTCAGGCATTCCCTTTGAAGAAATAACATCAAGAATGACATCAAACATAAATGTACGTTGTCTTCATAGAAAGAACATCTTTTCAAAACATTTCTTCAAGAGAAATGGAAACATCAGTTGGGTAGCAAGTTTGTTAAGAATTAGTTTAAAAATTGAGCTGCTATTTCAATCAAATTTTGTTCCTCCCCCCTTTTTTTTGAGTCTTTTTTATAGTATACAATTAAGGCTCAACAGATGTGGCCTTTTTTTTTCTTACCAAAAGTATTTTTAAGCTGAAACCAAGGCTAAAAAACACCAGTCTCTGGAAGAATTGTAAAGGAATGAAACATAACTTTGCAAGAGCCATCCAACCACTGTGGCTCATGCAGCATAGTCAAATTTTCTTTAATGATAACGCTTTTATCACTACAGTCTTTATAATATAATTCACACAGAATTCCATAATCACAGATTTTTTAGGTTGGAAGAGACCTCTGGAGATCATCTAGTCCAGACCCCCTGACAAGTCAGGGTCACCTACAGCAAATAACACAAGAGTTTGTCCAGGTGGGTTTGAAATGCCTCCAAAGAGGGAGATTCCATGACCTCCCTGGGCAGCCTGTTCCAGTGCTCTGCCACCCTCAATGTAAAGAATTTCTTCCTCATGCTTAGGTGAAACTTCTTGGTTTTAGTTTTTGGCCACTTCTCCTCACCCTGTTACTGGGCACCACCAGTAAGAGTCTGGCACTATCTATGACTATGTCTTTTACACCTTAATATCATTGCTTGACTATCATACTTGGTAAGAGTGGGAAAAACATTCTGAATGGCAATTATTTTAGTGTCCCTGTAAATGCCAGGATTTCCAGGGGAAGGAAGTAAAGGGAAATATGTTTCACCCACATTAAATACAAATGCTTAAAGGTCATAGTTTCTCAAGCTTTGACAACTTTCTCCGTAGCAAACCAAGCATAACAAGACTACTGACCTGTACTCACTAACACCATGCAGGAATTATGCAAACAGAAAACACACTTTCCCTAAGAAAAACGTGTTATTTTCAAACCAGGTACAGTTTTTTAGGACAAGGGAGACCACAAGGTTGAGGAGCAACAGAACAAGGGGAACTGGATTCAAACTTAAAGACAGTAAGTTTAGATATTAGGAAAAAAATTCTTTAATTAAATGAATTAATTAAAATTTTCTTTTAATTCTTTTTAATTCTTTAAGGGTGGTGAGGCATTGAAAGAGGTTGCTCGAAGAACTTGTGGGTGCCTCATCCCTGGGAAGTGTTCAAAGCCAGGTTGGATAGGGCTCCGAGCCACCGTGTTGAACAAGGACACCGAGCGGAAGGTGCCCTTGCCCACGGCAGGCAGGTCGGAACTGGATGATCTTTAAGTTAAGATCTTTAACTGATGATCCAGCTCAAGCCTTTCTGTGGTTCTGCGATCCTAGCGAGCCCGAACGCACCCCAGGAAGAGGGGCCGCCCTCAGCCGAGGAGCCTCCCGCCTAGCGAGGCCGCTTCGGAGCCAGCCCCTGACCGGCAGCCGGCTGCACCAATGAGGAGAGGGGGCGGCCCCGGCTCCGGCCAATGGTGGAGCGGCGCGCCGGGAGGGGCGGGCCACGGGCCGGCATGTGGCGGGCGCTGGCGGCGGCGCGGCGGCTCCTGTGGCCGGTCGGGGCCGCGGCCGGGGGCGCCCCGCGGGCGGAGCCGCCGCCACCCCGGGCCCCGCCGGGTCGGAGCTGCGCGGCGGCGGGAGGCGGAGCCGGGCCCGGGGCGCTGGGGGCGGCGGCGGAGCGGCGCCAGCCGGCAGGTAGGGCCCTGCCCGGGGCCGCGCTGCAGGGGTGCCCGGCGAGACCTTGAGCGGAGTGTGAGGCCTCGCGAAGAAGGGGCTGCCCGGCACGAGTGGAATCGCGCCTGCAGCTGCGGGGGATCCTCGCCGTGCCCGGTGCGATCGGCCTCACCTCGGCCGCGGCGTCGAGGTCACGGCACCAGCAGTGGGCCGGCACGGCCTACGCAGCGCTGCTGGCGAGCGAGGAGTCGGGGCGGTGTGGAGGGAGCCTGTGTGTAGATCCGTGTGTGAGGGACCTGCTCCGAGCCGCAGGGGTTCTGTGCCGTGCACTCGCAATCGCCCCTGTAGGTAACAGCCTCGGAAGCAGGGGCGCTCAGTAGAGGTACAAGGCTGCTGTGCATAGGCCTGGTTTGTGGCTGTAGCTGTACAGCAAAGCTCCTCTAGCCTGGATCTGACCGTGACGATCAGTGATTGGTGATGTTCAGGCCATCCGTTCTCCAAGCAGGCTCTGGAGGCTTCTCGTGTGGCTACCCGGCAGATATTTGACTTCTGTAACCGCTGTGTCTGGAAGAGCTGTGGCCACTGCTAATTTTCAAGGTGTGACCACAGCAAAAAGTTGTAAGAGTGCCCTGAGCTGAAAGCCTTACATTTACAGAGACCCGATCCAGTTTCATATCCCCATTCATGCATATAATTGTAGCTATTGTTCCTTTGTTTGGCTTTTTCTTTATATTGGGAAATGTAAACCTTGGCTTTGTGCTGGTGCTCAGTCTGCACTAAAGTTCATTTTATAGTGGCAGACTGGCATTGCTGACAGATTCAAATTATGCCTAAAATGTGCATACAAGTTGCCTCTACCTAATTAGGACAAATTAGAAATACATAAATTTCATGGTGTGAACAGAACATAGTTTCACTGATTTACTGTTTTGTAAGCTGGCTTCCTTAAACTGTTGAAGGACTAAAGCTTTGTCTACAATATCATAGTGCTCTGCACCAGATCTGGTTAGGAAAAAAGAAAAAAAAGTGGCTTTACTCATCCTGCAGATAAAAAAATGTCTTCACTCTACATCATGTCAGCTCTGTTTTCAAAATATTGTTTTCTTCTACTCAAGATTCTAGAACAGTTGCATCACAATGTATTATCACAGATTGTTGAAAAGCACTGTTCTGAAAAATTTTGTCTGTTGTTTTAATGTCTGTTGGAGTACTTAGATGTAACTTATCTACATTGACAAGTGTTAGGATATTCAAATGCAACAACAAGAAATAAATAAGTTAGCAAAAACAGAAATTTCATTTAGGTAACTGTTACATCTAGTGATAGGTTTGTTTACTGGAAGATTGCTTAGTGGTCAGCTTTGGTGGCTGTAAAAATGATTTTGAAAAATCTGCATTTCACGTTGCATTGTCAGTATCAAGGCAAACTCCACAGTGAGTGACTAGCTTAGGCTATAATTCAGTTAATTGTTATTTTATGGCTTTAAATGGTTTATTTTTGCAATTAAAAAGAAATTTTGCCACTGTACTGTTTTTTCCATGTGCTCCAGATACTGCTCTTCCAAAGTTCAACATTGACTTGGCTGTAGCATTACTGAGGCAAGAAAACGCTAAAGACATCTGTGTCATCCAGCTGTCTCCAGAAATAAAATACTGTGATTATTTTATAATTGTGAGCGGATTTTCAACACGACATCTTCATGCAATGGCAAATTACATGCTGAAAATGGTAAGACAGTTCTTGCTGCTCTGAGTTTTGGGAATAGTTTTAAATGTTGTGAAAGGAGTTTCCCCAGGACTGTGTGTGTAGGGGTGTACCAGGTAAGATGAAACTGATGACATTATGTCATTTAGTCCTGATTACATCAAGGAAGTAACTGTGGGTTTTTTCCCTTAGCAGTACTGCACAAAATACAGGTATTATATTTTAGAAACAGACCTCTCTCTATGTAGACACCGAGGACATAACAATTGGGTGACTAGAGCATGAATGATGTGGGATGGCGATGACGACTTGTGTCTACCTTTATTTTTGTCCAGCAAGCACCATTGCTATTCCCAGTCATTCAAAATAGCTTTATCTGGCTGTTCTCAAACCCTGATCCTTAACATTTCAACTTTCTCAGGTATATTGTAAGGCTGGAAAAAAAGTCAGCCTCTTAAGAGGCACAGGATCCCCTCATGAGCTTTTAGCAAACTGGTAGTTAATCGTCACCCTGTGGGAGACATCACATACTGCAGAAGAGGAGAAGCAGCAGCAGCCCTCCTTGCACAGAAATACTCTGCTGTTTGGCTTTGGAAGAAAGGGAACTTTCCAGTACAGAAATGGAAGTCAAAATAAAATTACGGGTAGATCTTGGAGATGAGTACCAAACTTGGGGAGGGAGAAACTTTATTCCCAGAGAAGAGCCATGTGACTGTTAAAAAGCACAGCCTGAGGAGTATGACCAGCCCCCATCTCAGTCAGCTGTCTCTACTCAGCCTGGAGTTTGCCTTTTCAGCACTCAATTTCTTTCCCTTCCCGACCCTGTTTTGCCTCTCAGTCTTGGGTTTGCTTTCTTCCTTCCAATCCCGTTGGTTTCAGCTGTGAGACTCATGGGGGGAAAGGAGAGTGGGAGAGATGGTTTAGCTTTCCAGGGCCTTTCTGAGCAGGTATGGGGAGTTTCTTGTGTTCTCTGCAGGAACTGGCGCATTTTCTCAAACCAGAATTTCACCTTAAACTGGAAATTGCATTAATGCATTGATTTGAGTATGCTAAATCAAAGTGCTTAATATGTACTCTACTGCTTGTATAACCTGCTAGTCTTAACAGTTTTTCATTTCCCCCAAGAGAGGTCAGTGAGTACTGCCTTCCCTGCAAAAACATGGCTGGGCTTCATGGCTGCACCCTCTGGTGGCTGTAAAAGCAGCAATTCTTCAAGGGCAGAGCCTCTTGGGAAACATGGTGTTCTTCTGGGCATCCTGAGAAACTGGGAAGCCTGGTCAAGTACTTGGGGATGGCTCAGTTCATCTCACATTGGAAGGTTTCTAGGTACAAAGTAGTTGAAGCTTAAGATGTAAAGCAGAGCAGGTGCTCCAGAGTGCTGCCATGCACTTGGTAAGCTTTAGTACCATTCCTAAATCCTTATGATTTACTCAGAGTAAAACAAAGAGATGCTCAGGTATAGCATGAGATCTTTCTCTTCTGCTTCCAGGAGCTCGCAAATGGCAAAGGCTCACATCCCCATCTGGTTTCATGTTAGAGGAAGAAGCTAACACTTGGCTGTATTTGTAATCTGTTCATCTTACATGGCCTCTAAAGAGGAGGCTTCAAAACTTGTAGCAGGGATCAGCCTTTGCAGCCTGATGATACTTGATGGCAACTCACACAGGGCTTTTTAGCATTTTGAGCAGACTATGAGAGTCTTTTGATGACACCTCACAAGCTATCTTAAAGAAAGAAAGGGAGAACTGGTTCTGAGTTAACATTTTGAAAGTTTTCCATGCTGGTTTGCAAACTAGCGTCATTACCCAGCAGCTAACATTGTGTGTGGAGCAGCCAGGAACAGCTACATTTTGTGATAATTCCATTCCCAGTAAAGTGGGACTCATTTGCCAGCCAGCCATGCTGGTACATATTGTTTTGTGTTCTGTGTTCCTTGGCAGAATGGACTGTTGGAGCCATTTCTATCTATACTCCTTATAGAGGAACAAGTAGGTTACGGCCAGGTCTGAAAGTGACCAAACTTCAGCCTAGAGCTTTCAAATTTCTCCAGCTCTGGTGGGTGCTTGGGTTCTTCATGAACTGACTGGGGAGAGCTGAGCTTCTCAAGCTGGCATCTACAAAAGCCAGCACGTGCTGCATGGGGAGCTACCCACTTTCCCTGACTGACCTTGTGCAGTCCTGCTTTGAGCTGCCCCCTCCCCTCTCCCGGGTGGAAGTCTGTGTGCTGGTCCTGCATCCCCCAGCTTGCAGCAAGTGTTGGGTGTGTGCCCTCAAGAGGCAGGAGGCTGATTTGAATGCCTTCCTCATGGCAGGGGATGAAACTTGTTTTCACCCCACTCCCCCTTCCATCTGGGAAAAGAATAAGCTCAGCATCTCCATTTCTGCATCCTCAGCCTGCCAGTATAAACCACCCGTGAAAGGTATCAGAAATAAAACCTAGTGGTGGTGGCAGCTACAGGGACCCAGTAACTGTGAAAGACTACTGTAAGCAGTTGTATTTAGTACTCATCTTGATAAAAGATACCTACAATATTCTTAGACAATGTTATGGGAATCCAGAGCATTAGGATTTCAGATTTGAGAAATCTGTACTTATTTTCCAGTACTGCAAAATCTAAAGCTTTTAAGTTTTAAAACAACTCAGCAAAGTCAAGCTTCTCTGTCGAGTGCTTTTTAAGTAAATGCAAAAGACGTAGTTTTCTGACATTCCTTTTTTTTTCTCAGTACAAGCATATCAAAGAAGAAGGTGGTCCTCATACTCAGATTGAAGGAAAAGAGACAGATGACTGGCTGTGCATTGATTTTGGTAAATATTTGTGAATCTGGGAAAAACAGTTCTGCATGAACTTTTTGTTGACAGAAGCATCTCACCACGAATGCTGGTTGCTGTGAAAAGTTCACAGTACTATGCAATTGTTGTTTGAACTCATTTAGATAATAAATGATTTTCCATTAAGTATCTTTGGCACTGAGAAAAAACAGTAACTATTCAGCAGCTAAAATAGGTCCTAAAAAATTGAAGGTAACAATAGTGAGGGGAAAAAAAAGCTACTTCAGTCAGTTTCCTCAGGTTTCTGTAGTCCATGTTTGGGTAAGTGGGGGCTCATTGTACATGGCCTTACTAATGAACTATTGAACAGACTTTTTCACTGTCCAAATCATACCACCACATGAGGTAAAACCTCAGTCCTAAGAAATTGAGTTTTTTATTCTACAAGTATGAAACTACACAACTGCTGCTTTTAGAATCTTACCCCCTGGCTTGGTGTTTTGACCTAAAAGATGAAAAGTTCACTAAAAGAGTGAGGAGCACTGCAGCCACTGATATAAAGCCTTCATTACTTAACTAGTAATTATTGACAGGAATAACTGAAAATCAATTGGAATTTAAGGGCATAACTACAGAAAAGTGTGTTAGACAAACATTGGAATTAACGTTCTTTGCACAGAATTAATGAAATCAGAAAAACTTAATACATCAAAGTTTGAATCTATTTAAGTGTAAAAACCACCTGAGAAGTGTGAGCAACACACCTAGGAGAAATTACTTGCCTTAAGGAGAATGTTGACAATAGAAGAAAGCTGAAAATCCATCTGCCAGCCTGGGGGACTCTTTCAAGTAAAATTCCTGTATTTCTTCTGTCCCATAGAAGTCATACTGTCTTTGTTTTGGAGTGTTGTGATAGTGTCTTATTTTAAAGTATGTGTCTCGTATCTTGTTACTGTAGTCTTGGAGTTTTTTAAAGGACTGACCAATTTCTAACACTGCTTGAGAGCTGGAAGCAGCAGCTTAGGAAGGGACCTTTATCAGCTAACATATTGTATATAGCCAGAAGAGGGATGGAAGGCTTGCTCAGCTGAAGGTGTAGTAGTGCTTTACTGTTCCCATTAATTTATTGTGAATTTCTGTTTTGTGCAGGTAACATAGTGGTGCATTTCATGCTGCCAGAGACACGAGAAGTTTATGAATTGGAGAAGCTGTGGACTCTTGGTCCCTACGATGACCAGTTAGCACAGATGACTCCACAGTCCCTTCCAAAAGACTTCATATTTGGACTGACTCCTAACAGCAGTGATCATCTTGAAACAAGGACTTAAAGCAGCTACTGCGTGGAGAGAGAATGAGTGTGCCTGAGTCATACAGTCTTGAGAGCTGAGTAGTCAGTACAGTTGATCAGTACAAAACTGTTACTATTGGATTTGCCTAGGTAGAATTCTGAACAAGCTGAAGTGAGGAGGCTCATAGAATCATTAAGATTGGAAAAACCCTTAAGATAAGAGTCCAACTGTGAAATGTCAAAGAAGGAATCCTATTAGAGCTTCCCAGGGGATCCACTGTTTTAGTGGAGTTTGCAGTGAGAAGAGCAGGGCAAAGACAGCTGCTTAACCTGGAACTCATGCTCAGCCTCTAGAGTAATTGTTTTTCTAATATCTTTGAAAGACACCCTGTAGTGGCAGTGCAAAACAGACTGGAGTGCTGCAAGGAAAAACTGTGAAATAGTACAGTTGAGATGATGCTTCTTGTGTTAAGCCATTTGCTTCTGGTCACAATAAAGCAAGTCGTGGTCTGAAGGGAAAACAGACTGGTGTTACTGAGAACATAAAAGCCAAGAGCAACAGTGGCAAATAAATGTGCTTTGAGTTATCAGAACAGTAAATCAGTTTTCCAGACAAGGCAAACCTGGTTTTAATAATAATAAAGCCCCAAACAGAAGTGCTTCAATTACTTGTTTTCATGTGAAAGGATTCAGCTCATCCTGCATGTGCAATTGACTCCTCTCCTAGTTTTTCTCTCACCTACTTTCTGAAAAGGGACACTGGGACAACACACTATGGTAGTGAAAACCTTCAACTATTTTAAGTGGGAAAAAAGTTCTATAGGAAGCCCTTGGTCACTGAGCATTATTTGTTGCTAATAGACTGTTCAGCAGTATCAGAAATCACTGTTCAGTGTTTTTCTTAGCATGACGTATGTATGGCCTGATAACCAGTTAAGGAACTTCAAGGTGATAACCAACTTGTCTCTGTAAGACAGGATGCTTTTCTGTACTACAGGACAGGGGTTTCATCACTGGATTAGGATCTCTTCCTCCTGGAGAAGTTTGCTCTGCCATGTATCAGAAAGCAGAAACAGGAGATCCTGAGGGTAATCACCTTTTTCTTCCTATAGCCCCACAATTACTGCAAGCTCTGTCTGCATCTCTGCCCTGCACAGCAGCTTCTGTTTGTAATGCTCAAAGTGAGCCTGGTTTTTGTGCCTGTAGCTGTGTTGTTCAGGAAGAAGTATGTTTGTTTTAAAAAATCCAAACAAACCAAAACCCACTTCTCCCTCTATTTAGGGTCATGTTTTCTTGCTGTGTCTAATCTCTTTTTTAATGAATAACTGCCTCTAAGTTCACCTGCTGTTTGATACAAAGCAGCAGATAGTTCTGCAGTTAAGCAAAGGGTATTTTTTAAGTGTAGTTTAACCATGCAGCTAAAACATCTTTGCCCACAAAGCAAATACTTTCTTGGGAAATAAAACTGCAGAGAAAGGTTTTAAAAATGCTTCATGATACTTCTTGAAAGTAATCACACGGGAGAAAGATAACCTTGGCTGTCATACAGCCTGGTGGGTTCTAAATCAGGCATTTCCTCCTAGGAGGGATGCGTAGGGCTAACTGGGTCATTCCCTGAAACATTTGCCTTTTACTGCTGCTGTGGCTAAGTAATATGTGATGAATAGAGGTAAGTTCAGGAAATATTACACCCTTATATGAACCCACATTTAGTAACCAGAATCACATACAGTATCCTGTCTGAAAGAGCAGTAAGAAAAGGAGTACCCAGAAAAGAGCAGTATGAGAGGGAAGAGCTGTGTGAACAAGCTAGAACTCAAGACAAGACAAAAAAAATGAAAATAACAGGAGAAAAAAAACAGTAAAATAAACAAATACAGCTGACTTAACTGTCAAAGCATATTGTGAAAAGGAGTTCTGTGAACATCCACTGGTTGCTATTAAACAATCATCTGCCAGTGCAGAGAAAAAACTAGGTCCTCGTCCATTGAAAAGAAGCATTTCTAATCTCTGCTGTGCTACTGCAACACCCCAACCACATTACCTGGCAGCTCTGGTGAGACTATGGCCTGATAGTCCTAGAAGCTGGGACGTAGGAATTAACCGAGACAGTCTGGATGATCAATACTGTGCAACACTAAAGCCCTTTGGGAAAGAAAACATTTGGAAATTTTTTCAACTGGATAGATCAGATGATTTCTGGGTAAAATAAAAATACCAAACAGCTTATGCAATGAGTCTGTAGATTCAGCATTCAGTCCTTCTGGACAGGTACATGTTTGGCTCTGTGAAGGATCCCTTGGTGAGATAAACAGGAGGAACCACTAAGTGAACCTCTTGTCATCATTTCTCTGATTTTCTTCACTGCATCTGAGTAACTTCATTTTCAAGCAGTGTTTGTCCATCACTTGAGCTAACATCTCCATCAGAGCCCAGCTTGAATGCTTTCTCAACAGTTTTCCATGTTTGCTTAAGAATCCTACACCTTAGCACCATATCAAGCCCAGTCTGTCTTGCACAGCACACGTGCTCCGTTTAATGGAAACTGATACAAAGAGCGCATGCCTTGGAAATTGCGGCTTAAGAACAAAAGCTCTGGAAGGTTAGAAGCAAATAAAAATGTCATGATTAAGCAAATGCTTAAAACAGGGGTTGAGCTGTCACAAATGCACCAGCAGTACAGAGCAAGGCTTGACTTTTTATGTTGCTCAAATGACAAGGTGCTGGTTCTGAGAAGAAAGCTCAATAGTGACATGGAGAAATGAGCTTAGGCTGCCCTGTGAAATGCGATACTCTATGCCATGCCTTCTACAGACATAATTTCTTCAATTCCCTCTTTCTGCTGGCTGGTCCCAGGAAATGAGCTATGAAGTAGGAAGGTGAAGTGGGCTTCCCAGTTCTCTTTGAAAAGATAGAGAGTTGTGTAATTCATGATGCTTCTTCATTTCCGAGCTCCTCCCTTCATGTGAAAGCATTCATTTAAACACCTGGTCTCATTTCTACTCCAAATAATCTTAACAAGGATCTAAATGGAGAGGTGATACGTCCTGTCCTAACTGGCAAGTGCTGTGTTTGGGTGGTCACAGCTGGGGTGAGAGGTTGCCAGCACATTTGTTTGCCAGTGTGACTGGTTCTGCCTGTCCAAGCTTTTAGGGCCACACTGATGACAAAGCTTCATCACTCCAAGACCACCACAGTAAAGACTGCCTCCCCTCTCCCCACCATCCAAAAATAAAATGACTGCATTTCTGAACTCCTTCATGTTTGATCTGACAGTCAGGACTGTCAAGTCCACATTCCTTCCACGGCAAACAAGCCTAAGTGAATGGTGCAAGGCAAATCATGAACCACTGGTTGTCCTACAGACTATATGGCATTGTTAGATGGGAGGGAGAATTACAAGCCACAGAACTCACTGCTTGTTTTGGAAAGTGCAAACATTGCAACCTGGCTGTCCTAGCAGTTATGGAATACCTGTAGGTTACTGCTCATCCTTACTCAGTTATTATGGACAGGAAACCAGCTTTATCAAAGCACCGCAAATACTTGGGACAGTCTGTCCCTATGCCTCATTATTTTAAAAAAACACCACACAACTTTATCTGATGATAGGAGTTAAACTCTTTATTCCATTCAGAGGCATCTGGCAAGTAGAGCTGCATTGGGGGGCACATTACAGATGAAAAATGTTCCATACTTTCTGGATATTGAAATCATTTACAGTATTTACTTTCTAGCTATTCCCAAATACTCCAAATTACCAAGTCTCAATTGAAAAGAAAAACATGAGATACCATATTAAGTCTAGAAATTTAAGAGAGATGACAGTAATTAAATCAGCAGATGTAAATGCAGCGCCTATCTGTAAAGTAATTTTTAATGGAAAATAATGAAGTCAAATCCTCCTCAAATGTTAAGAAAGGAACGTCCGACTGACTTAAGCCTCAACAAAAATTAAAATGCTATGTACTTTCCATACTTCAGTAATTTTAAATTCATTGTAAGAAAAAAAAAATTATCCTAAAGGCTAGATGAAGGTCACTGTCAAAAAAAGGAAAAGAAACTCATTTTTCTTTGCTAAAACTACAACATAAGTTTGTGGTTTTTAAACCAATTAGTAAAGAAGAGATGCAGGAAAAACACTTCAGACCATTTTCAAAATTATCTAATCTGTACAACAATGATCTTTGGGAAAATTATCTAGTCTATGTAGTAATGCCTCTATTTCAACATGAACCTAAGAGGTAGATAACAAAATGATGAAACAAATGTTTTTGCTCGCTGTGCCCCTCAAATCAGTGCAGCATGGTGATTCTGATCATCTCATGCACAAAAAACATCACAAAAAAAGGTTCAGAGGTAATAGCATGGCTCTGTTGACCACACACACACAGGCGCGCACGCGCACACACACACACAGCAGTCTTTATGCACCATGTGTTGCCACATTTTTTTTTTTTCTTAAACTGAGGTAGACTGAAGTTTATTGTAGAAACTTGAATGTGTCACTATTACCACAATCATCATTCAAATTACATTTGGAAATTAAAAAATTTGGTAACTTTCCTGTTATCCCTGCCTTTTGACATTTTTTTTTTTGTTCTCCTCTAATGGTTGGTTGCAGAACGTGCATAAATCCTGCTGCATCTATTATAAGCCAGGCTAGAGGGGTTGTTGTTTTGTTTGTTTTTTTTTCTTGTAATAATTTTCAAAACCTTCAAAGTGGCTTAGTGTGGCCCATAACAGCGGCTGGATATGTAAACTTAGCCTTTCATTATCTTTCAATGTGATCAAACACTGTTTGACCTTCCCCCATCGTGGTAACTGAAAGCAGTATGATGTGATCTGCAGACAGCAGAGACCCTCCTGGCCTCAAAAATGCTCCAGCAGATCAAGTGTTCTATCAAACTGAAGATGAAGCTTGCTCTTTGAACAAAATGGCAAAGTCCAAATGGGCTGCAAATGGTTAAATGTAGCATTATTAGGTAGTGATGGTCAAAGGCACAAAGGGTTCATGCATTCAATCAAGTAGCACAAAAAAAAAATTCAGCCTCTTGCAGCCTTCTAAATTTTTCCCCCAACCCCAGCCTCTTGCCATCACTTCCTTGTCCTGTTCCCAAAAAAGTACCGTCACAAACTTTTTCATCCCATCTTAAAAGAAAACTAAACGGCATTGCTGCTATCAGAATGTTGGCATCATTCACTATCTTTTGAACATTCATTGAATTTTTTTTTAAACAAATGATGGTGTTGAAGCCCTCAGGAAATCTGAGGCTGTGTTTTTTTTACCCACCTTACTCCCATCAGCCAGCAGCTAGAAGTGCTCTACTATATTTTTCCCCGATAAGTCTGTAGTACTCCTGGCTGGTGGCTGATCAAATTTTAATTTTTTTTAAAAAAATAAAATGCTCAAGAACTATTAGCTTTATAAAGTATACAAAATACCAAAAAAAAAAGCAAAAAAGGAACAATTTCTCATTGAGGTACTAAATGCCTGAGGTAGTTTAGTAAAATGCATATTTATCTTTTTATGCCCTGGCCAACACCATTCAACACTTCCCTTAGGTTATTCATGGCAGTGTTATGTAAAAATGCAACCAAATTCTTTTTTAAAAAATGCCACTTGTTTCAACATTGGGACTAACACTTAAACTCTTGTCAATAC